CTTTATTTAAACATTCAACCCAGATGTCGAATTTATTTGCCCAGAGAAAAAATTTAAAACTTGACTTGAATTTATTATATGCTTCATGTATTATTGGGAGCTCTGGTGGTGAAGTGCCTAAGACATTTGACTGCTAACTAGAAGGCTGGCGGTTCAAGCCCACCAGCCACTCCTCGGAAGGAAGGTTGGGCAATCTGCTTCCATAGAGATACTGCCTCAAAAACCCAAGGAGAGGTCACTATGAGTCGGGGCCGACTCGATGGCAGTGTGTTTGATTTGTTTCATGTGTTATTATTGTAATAGATATTTTAGATAATATATCTAGAATAGACATTCCTATTTGCAGCTTACACAAACTTTAAACCCCCATTCTAATTTGTTGAGTTAATTTTGATCTTTGCCTTTCTTCACAGTTCAGAAATATTTGGGTGGATTATAGGTCAACGTCAAAGGCTTTGTAAGAGGGTTTGTTTCTTTCAGTTTTTACCTTCCTATTTCATTGTTCATTTAAAGGTATCTTCATTATTATTATCCAACTAATACATAACTAAGGAGCTCTGGTGGCATAGTGCTTAAGGCATTTGACAGCTAACCAGAAGGCTAGCAGTTCAAACCCACCAGCGACTCCTCAGAAGGAACTCTGGGCAATCTACTTCCATAGAGATACTGCCTCAGAAACCCAAGGAGGGGTTGCTGTGAGTTGGAGCTCTGGTGGCATAGTGCCTAAGGCATTTGACTGCTAACCAGAAGGTTGGTGGTTCAAAACCCACCAGCCACTCTGTGGAAGGAAGACTGGGCTATCTACTTCTGTAAAGATTTACTGCCTCAGAAACCCAAAGGGAGTCGCTGTGAGTTGGAATCGACTCGATGGCAGTGAGTTTGGTTTTTTTTTTTTTTTTTTTTTAGAATAAATAACTATTGAAAAATATATAAATAGAAATAACCAAATGGGGAAAAACTACCCATAATCCTACTACCCAGTGTAATTACAGCAATCACTTAGTACACGGTCTCTCAATCTTTTTAGTGATAGGGATGATATTTATTAATCTGTGAGGGTTTCTGATCCTCTCTACTCAGTCTCCCCACATGGTAGGGAACACATGTTGGAGATAGGGTGGGGCCTGTAATGCCTATTATTCTCAGTATTGAAATATTTAGTATAGATTTCTATTTCATAATCATTTTCTCCAATTTCAACCATAGTTCAGTTGCCATCAAAATAGTAAGATCTTACTGAACATTTTGATCAAATTCCATAGAAGACTCTTGATCAAAAGGGAGAAAATGTAGAAAAGAAGTTCCAGTGCTCATAGACTGTAGACTTTCTGGAGCCATGAACTCAGAAAAACAAATTCACTGCTATTGAATAGATTCCTACTCATAGTGACTCATAGGGTTTCCAAGGCTATAGATCTTTATGGAAGGAGCTGCTCCATCTTTTTTCCACAGGACAGTTGGAGGGTTCGAACCGTTGACCTTTTGGTTAGCAGTCAAATGCCTTAACCACTACATCAGTAGAGCTCTTCTCTGGAGCCATAGAGAGTGGATAACCCCCTGAGACTATTGCCCTGAGATAATCTTTAAAACTTAAATCAAAAATATCCCATGACATCTTCTTAAAATCAAACAACACTTTAGCTTAAGTAGTAAAAAAAAAAAAAAACTCCTGCCTTGGACATTAAACTCTTTTAAGAACTATCTATATGGGAGACAGAGAGAGGTACACAACAGCTATAGACAACAAAGATAAACACTTTTACATATACAATACTGCATTGTCAGTGATAACAAAAATTAATCTAAGGTAAATAGATGGGTAGACTGGCAGAATGATCAGGTATGTTTAGGCAAAAGGGAATATACCCATGATCATATATAAGGTTGGCAGATAATATTTCTATATATGTCTTTGTATGTGCTATAAGAATCTCCATATACCTTGAACTGGGCGCAAAGTTTTGATAACTTCTTAGTCACATTGAACCACCCTGATGGAGCAAGTTGTTGGACCTGTGGGCTTGGGACTGTGGTCACAAGGGGCATCAAGCTCAACTGGCATAATGTTACTACACAGAAACATTGTTCTACATCCTACTTTGGTGAGTAGCAAGTGGGGTCTTGAAAGCTTGCAAGCACCCATGTAGATGCAACAATGAGTCTCTCCTTGTCCAGAGCAAAGAAGAATGGAGAAAACCAAACATGTATGGAAACTATTCATCCAAGGAACTAGTGGACCATGCAACCTCAGCCTGTATGACCATGAAACCAGAAGAATTAAATGGTGCCTGGCTACCACTGTCAACCACTTGGAAAGGGATCAATATAGGAGATCCTGGGTAGAGTGGGAGAACAATGTAGAACAAAACTCAAAATCATGAAAAAGGCCAGGTTTACTGGTCTGATACAATGTAGTGAGACTCCTGATACTATGATCCCTAGTCACCCTTCAGGTCTGGAATTGAACTCACTCCCATGGCTTCCACCCAAACAATAGACAGGCATATAGGGTGAACATTTACATCAGGTAGATACACTCCTTAGAATGATCAATCATGGGGGAACAGAAGGGCAATAGTTGCACAGGGCGATAGCTCAGAGGGCAGGAATGCATAGGAAAGAAGGACCCAGGGAAAAGGTAACTACAAGGAGGAAGCGGGAAGAGAGCTACATTGTGGGGAAAGTGCAGTGTCATGAAACAAAATGTGTATGAACTGCTGTATGGGAAATGAATTTGCTCTGTATACTTTCACCCAAATCACAGTTTTAAAGAAGAAGAAGAAGAACTATCTATGTGGGATCAAAATGAAAGCACCCACTTGAAAGTTTAGATGGGAAACAGGGGGCAGAGAGTTTATGTTAATGAAGGACAAACAACTCCAAAAAGGAGGGTGAGAATGGTTGTACAACTTATCGTTACTAAATTGTACACATAGAAACTGTTGAGTTGGTGTATATTTTGCTGTATATATTTTCAACCACAATGACAAGATAAATAAAATTTAGAAAAAAATTGTAATAAAGACCTGGTTCATGTAAGAATAATCTGGGGGCTCTGTGCTTGGCAATCTCAATTAATAATCCATTTTCTAATGACAATTTGGGCTTTGTGTGTGTGTGTGTTTTAGGTGAAAGTTTGCATAGCAGATCAGGTTCCCCTTTACCAATTTTTATACCAACGGCTCCATGCCATAGGTTACAATTTTTACCTTATGTCAGCATTCTTGTTATTTCCATTCTTTTTGTTCTGTTTCCATCGATCTTAACTTCCATTCTACTCCTTGCCTTCTGACCTTTATTTTGGGTAAACATTGCTTGTTTGATCTCATATAGTTCATTGTTTGAGAGCACATTACTCACAAGTGCTAATGTTTATAAGTCAATCTATTATTTGGCTGAAAGGTACCCTACAGAAATAGCTTCAATTCCATGTTCAAAGGGTATCTTAGGGCAGTAGTCTCAGGGGTTCTTCTAGTCTTTATCAGTTCTGTAGATCTGGCCTTTTTTGAGGAATTTGAGTTTTCTACATTTTTCTTCTATCTGAGACCTTCTATTATGTCCGTATCAGAACGGTCGGTAGTAGTAGCTGGGCACCATGTAGTTCTTCTGGTCTAAAGTTTGATGAGGTTGTTTGTCATGTGGGCTTTTTTTTTCCCATGGGTTAGTTTCTCCTCTGAGGAGCTCTGGTAGGGTAGTGTCTAAGGCACTTGACTGCTAACCAGAAGGCTGGCAGTTCAAACCCACCAGCCATTCCTCGGAAGGAAGATGGGGCAGTCTACTTCCATAGTGATACTGCCTCGGAAACCCAAGGAGGGGTCGCTATGAGTCGGGTCTGACTTGACGGTGCATAACAACAACAACAACAGTTTCTCCTCTGAGCCTTTGATTTCCTTTATTCTCTTTTGTTCAATACGAGTAAAGACCAATAGCTGTATCTTACTTTAGATTTTTTAAAAAATTGTAATGGATTCTGTGCCATGGACCTCAAATGCCTCCATGGATCAGACAGGTTATGAAAGAGAGTGATGCAGAACAGCTTTTAGAAAAAATGATGAATGGCAGCTTGCTCTGGGCTTCTGTGAAGGACACAGTAGAGATTTGTGGGGTCTGGGGCTAAATGGAGAACATTTGTTCTGTCTGAATGAGGCAGGGTTTCCAAACGATTGTTGACATGTGAGAAAGTGGGCCCAATATTGTAAAATTTTCTTGTTTCCAAGACAGTTAAGAAAGACCAAGTTTTGTCTTTTTTTTTTTTTGCCACATTGGAATGTGAGTAAAAGTTTTTTTAAACCCTACACAGGTCAAACAAAAATACGTTTGTAGACTGGATCTGGCCTAAGATGCCATTGTATGGCCTCTATTCTGTATTCATCTTTGATGGTGGCTTCCATGAAGGTGTAAATAAGCCCTCAGAGCCAAGAAAATACAACCTAATGTGTACTAGACCCCAAAATGTATGAAAGCCAAATGCAACTCTTCCAAAGACCTTGTTGTGGTTGTTGTTATGTGCCCTCGAGTCGGACCCGACTCATAGCGACCCCTCCTTGGGTTTCCGAGGCAGTATCACTACGGAAGTAAATTGCCCCATCTTCCTTCCGAGGAGTGGCTGATGGGTTTGAACTGCCAGCCTTCTGGTTAGCAGTCAAGTGCCTTAGGCACTATGCTACCAGAGCTCCTTCCAAAGACCTTAGCCTTTTTAAATTATGGACCTCTAGTGAGATGAACTAACTAATTTGGTTCAAGTCAAACAACCTATGTGGGAATCTCAGCGCCATCATTTTCTAACCTCTCTGTGCCTCAGTTTCTTCATTTAAGAAATAAAATGATAGTGTCAGCCTCATAAGGCTATAAGGATTAAATAAGACAATTTAGAAAAAGTGCTTAATAAGCACCCAATTAATTATTTTTATTCCTCTTCCTCCTCCCCATCCTTCTTCTCCTGCTATTGCTAGGACTGCTGCTGATCTAGTTTCTCTTTTTTTTCTTTTTCCATATTCCAGGTTCTTGAGTCCCTTCAACATGATCCTTGGAGGAGTTGTGGTGGTGTTGGTGTTCACAGGCTTTGTGTGGGCATCCCACAATAAAGACATCCTTCGTCGCATGAAGAAGCAGTATCCCACGGCGTTTGTTATGGTGGTCATGTTGGCAAGCTATTTCCTCATATCCATGTTTGGGGGAGTCATGGTCTTTGTGTTTGGCATCACCTTTCCTTTGCTATGTAAGTGAATCTTATTTTTCTTATATCCTAACAAATGTGGGTACAGTTGTTCGACAGGAATTACATAGCCTGTTTCTTGCGTATGTTGGCATATCTGCAAAGTTATCAGAATTTTCTAAAGCAACAGGTCAAGGCCTAATAATTCATTAATTCCAGAAATATTTGTTGAGAAACTGCTGTGGGTCAGACACTCATATGGTGACACAGCAGTAAACAAAACAGATTAAAAATCCCAAAGTTCCCCAGCAGGAGAGTGGCTTAGCCTAGATTGGACTTCAGATTTGCCTGATACTAGAATGTCTGTTCTCAATTTTTAAGTGCCCTTCTTCTTTTTCTGAGACAGAAATGAATTCTTTTGTCATTTGAACCACAAACTGTTTACTCTTTACTTACTCTGATGATCATAAAAACAAACTCACTGCCATCGAGTTCATTCCAACTCATAGTCACGCCTGTTGGGCTTTCAAGGCTGTAAATCTTTGCGGAAACAGAATGCCCAGTCTTTCTTCCATGGAGCAGCTGGTGGGTTTGAACTGCCTAACTTGTGGTTAGCAGCCAAATGTCTTTACTACTACACAACCAGAGCTCCTGAAGATCATAATTAATGTCAAAATTTGGTAAATGTAGAGGAGAAATTGGCCCAGAATATAGATACCGATTTTGGTGAAGATAACTAGATGTTTTCTAAGTATTTACTGAGGCCCCAAACACTTACTTGAAGCCAGAAATAGCGATCAGATAAAATCGCAGCCTCATCAGCAGACATCTGATTCACATTCTAGTGTATTAAGTGACAGGAACATTGCTTTAACTTTTCGTTACATTTTTACTTATACATCTATTCCATTAAATGAAATAATTACCTTGTCTTGGAGTTTTGTTAGATTAAGCCCAGAATATTTATGGATGATTCCCGCATCTTGTTAGACAAAAGATTTGAATCAGCAGATTCAGCATTTTGGAAATATTCCTCAGGTTTTCCTTATGTGCTAGAGACTTGGTATTTCAATGATTCTATCTTGTTTAAATGCACAGCTTATTTTCTTTAGTTCTTTTTCTACATCAGCCTGAGACCAGGTAATGTAATGAAATGTAACATAGATAGAGAGTCAGGGGTCCCTATTTCTATTGCAGAATTTTCTGGGACCCAGTCGTGTGATTTGAACCAGTCATCTACTATGAGCTGTAGTTTACTCATCTATAAAACAAGGAAATTAGATAACATCAGTGATTCCCAAACCTTGATGATTTCATGCATTAGCCATTTTTCCAACATTTTTATATATACATTTCAGTGATACTAATTACATTCATCATATTGTACAACCATCACCACTATCCAATTCCACATTTGTCCATCACCCTTAACAGAAGCTCAGTGCCCCCTAAGCAATGAGTCCTCTTTTCCCCCTCCCTTCCATCCTTGGTAACTGCTAATAAACTTTGGTCTCTTGCCTAATCTTGATATTTCATATTTTGTTTGTTGTTTGTTGTTATGTGCCGTCGAGTCGGCCCCGACTCATAGCAACCCTTCCTTGGGTTTCCGAGGTGGTATCACTACAGAAGTAGATTGCCCAACCTTCCTTCTGAGGAGTGGCTGATGGGTTTGAACGTCAGGCTTCTGGTTAGCAGTCCAGTGCCTTAGGCACTATGGTGAGATCATATAATATTTGTACTTCTGTGACTTACTTCACTCAGTGTAATGTTTGCAAGGGCAAGACACTTTTTAAGAATATAAATTTCCCAGCCACGTACTCTGGAGGTCTTGATTCTATGGATCAACAGTGTTGCCCAAAGAACCTCTGCTTTTAGAAAACTCCTCAAATGTTTCAGATGAATGCACAGTTTGGAAACTACCAGATAGAAAGCAATGAATGTTCTCAGAAATAGGGTCCATGATCAGAATTATTCACCGTGGTTATTAAAATTATACATTCTTGAACCTACCTCAATCTTAAAAGTCTGAATTTGGGGGAGTGGAGCCTAGGAATTGGCCTACGTGACAGACTCTCCAGGTGATTTGTATGTACATCAAAGTTTGAAAACCACTGGTGTTGATCACCTGGGTTGCCTGTTTAAAATACAGATTCCCAAGCCCATCCCTTTAAGGTTCTGGTTCAGGAGGCCCAGGAGAAGAGCCTGGGAATCTGTTTTTTTAATAAGCAAACCCTGGTCATTCTTAATAATCAAGCAAATCTGGGAAACTCTAGAGTAGATAAGTTCTATAAAACACAGATTTTTATCTATAAATCTATACCCAGCACTTTGGAGAACTGACACTTGGGAAGAATCTTGTAAGTGGTCTTTGCCCGCATGCCTCCTGAAACTAGTTGCCATCAAGTTGATTACCTGACTCATGATGACCCCATGTGTGTCAGAGTAGAACCGTGCTTCATAGAGCTTTCAATGGCCGTGACTTTTATATCTCCAGGCCTTTCTTCCAAGGCACCTCTGGTAGACTTGAACCTACAACCTTTCAGTTAGCAGCCAAGTATGTTAACCATTCCGTCACGCAAAGACTTCTAGGGTCTCCTGAGGAGAACAAACTCCAGATGATCCTTGAATTGGGCAAGAATTCCTTCCTGGAAAACTTTGTGTGAGTCAGTTTTTAAGTAGGTTGGAATCACAATGATTCCCTTTGAATTTCAGGGCATTTTACTAGTATCTGCAGGATAGTAATGCCAGTGTGTGAAGGAGAGAGCTCGGCTGCCAGATTATGGTCCTTCTTGCTGAGCACACCATTTCCTTCATACACCAACAACACTTTACGTATGACTTGATCATGAGCTTTATATAAGGTCCAGTTTGCATAAGCCAAGGATCTATTTGAAGGCCTGGATCCATTAAAGAACCACATTGGACTATAGCTAACTGAGGCACTTTTTACCAAAAGTGGAAAGAGAGGGAATATAAGGTTGATGTGGAAAAAGACAACTGTTGCTTTGGTGCTTACCATGTCCCTCTTGCCCGCAGTGATGTTCATCCATGCATCTTTGAGACTTCGGAACCTCAAGAACAAGCTGGAGAATAAAATAGAGGGGATGGGGTTGAAGAAGACACCGATGGGCATTGTCCTGGATGCTCTGGAGCAGCAGGAAGAAAGCTTGAACAAAATCTCTGACTACATCAGTAAAGTGAAGGAATAAGTGTCACTGGCCTAGTGATAGGGTCACAGCAGAAATTCACTTGCAGTTTGCTCTTGTCCAGACCTACTTTCTGTTTGTGTTTTTGAAATAGGAGGTGCACGTACCATCCAAATACCTATGGCAGCATGCATGTATAGGCTAAGCTATCAGTATCTCTGATGTTACAGAGAGAAGGCCACAGAAACAGAAGGAAAACCACCCTCATTTTGTCTGTAGTTTTGAGTGTGTTTATGAAAACTGATAGGAAATGGATCACCCTTATTTAAGGGAATAAAAGAATTGTGACTAGTACAGCCGCAATGCTGTTACAGGAGAAAGTAATTGTCAAATGTTAGTAATATGCATAAATGAAAGGCTGATAAAGTAGATGTTGTCATGTGTTAGCCTGTTTCTAATCCTCCTCAAGCATCCCTCTCCCAAAGGTATTCCCTAGGCTTGGAATGTGTGGGGTATGAATTAGTTTAGTTTTTATTGCTATTAAAATCAAAGATGATCTCTATCTCTTTGCTGCTTGTTTAGCATGCAGTGGAAACTGGATAAATCAGTTTATACTTTGTTTACAAATATAAAGATTGCTGTTTAGGAGAATATTTTCTCAAATTTTTGTAAATTTTTGAAATACCAGTAATGTGTTTTCACCAGCAGGTATCTGTTGCAAACTTAATGTCCTATTCTTTAAGGAAGTTACAACTATGTAACTTACATTGTTAAAAACCAAAAAAACAATAAAGCAAAACTTGAGTTCTGTTGATATTGCACTGTTTTTTATTGTTATAATGAAACAAAAGCTGTCCCAAGATGTTTCCCTTATATTTTTCATTGTTTAGATTTTAACTGGAATGTTTAGAGAAAAGGAAATGAATGTGCATTTTATTAGTTCCTTGGAGCACAAAGAGGAAAATAATAGCTGATCTTTTGAAATCTGAAAAGAATCTTTACATGACTGAGCAAAAGGCTTTTCAGAATTAAAATGGGAATGATTATCAGCTTGTGCAGTTCATAAGAATTTTAGGCAGTAATTGCTATAAGCATATACTTTTATAGCTAGACATTTGAATTGAGATAGCATGAGTTTATGTGTTCCATTACTTTCTTCTCTTTACTTCCCAGGTGTTGGAAACAGATCATAGGAAATGTTTTGCTTGCCAACTGAGTGGCTTCGTAGCAGAAGTAGAAAGCATTTCATTTTCCCTAACACTGAATTGTGTAGACAATTTGTGCAGTACTTATTGAAGAAATTCTCTGTATGTTCTAGAATAAGAAGCAACATCTGCTGCTTCTAATTTTTCTCACATTTTAATTTCTCAGCCAACCTGCAGCCTTCACCTCTAGCCCACTATACCACCACTACTTCTAAGACATGGTCTAGAATCTGTACACTGACCCAAATATGAAGAATAAAATTTATCAAAGGTTTTTTTGTGAGCCTTTATTTAATGAAAATGTGTTAAATATCGAAAAGACTCGATGACAACCCTGTAAGCCATGAGGATATACCATATAGCAAATACTCTTAGCTTGTTTCAAATACTGTGTTAATAAAACATTATTACTTCATATACTTTCATCCAGAATAAAATTAAATTACAGTGGGATGCTTTTTGCAACCTGATGTGGGTTTACATGTGTTTTAGCACCTTATATTCTCTACATGGTGAGCTCTGCTAACTAAATGCAGTAAATTTGGAGAAAGTGACAACTTGAATAAATATATATTTATATTCATTATAATTACTAATTGTCAATGGTCAATCCTGGAAGAATAGTAGAAAAATATAATACGTAAATCCCATGAGTCAAGATAACATTTTAGAAACAAATTAAAACCTTGATCAATTAAGGGACATTTGGGATGGGGTGGGTGGATGGAAAACATGTGAACCATGTCATCTGTCTCTTGACAAAAACTTGTATATTGAGTCAATAATCTATGAAATTGTACACATTTCGGGTTGAAGTCTTGTTTCAAGGCTATTAGTACTTTTTGAAATTTCTGATTTTATTATTGCTGTGGCTGGGCAAGCAAATACATAGGACTCTCCAGAACTTCTACTACTAATAGACATTAAGCTTTTAAAAATAATTAGGACACTTTGTTCTTCCAGAAATTAGCCTCTTAGATGTAGAATGTACTAGATACTTAAAAAGTTTTGTTTGTTGCACCCATTTCTTAACTATACTGCTATATATGCAAAGATGTTTTGTAGAAATATTAGGGGAGAAAACAAAACTATCAGCCATTTGCTCTTCTAAAATTAGTCACTTTACTTAAAACTGTTTGGATGCTTTTGTACACACAAACTTATCTTTAACAACAGAAACACTGTATTTCTTCCCCATGGCTTGTCCTTCCAGATAATGTATTGCTTTTAATAGGTTCATTTTCTTCTTGCCCATCTTGTCTGTTATGCGGGCACTCAGCTACTGAACCAAAGGTTCGAACCTACTGGTTGTCGTGCAGAAGAAAGATGCACAGTTTGCTTACATAAAGATTACAGCCTTGGAAACCCTACAGAGCAGTTCTGCTCTGTCCTATAGATAGGGTTGCTATGAGTCAGAATGGACTGGCAGCAATGAGTGAGTTACGAATATTAAAAAGGAGACAGGAGGCAGGTACCAATTATTCACTCAAGCAAAGAAGAGAGAAAAAGGCACCAAAGTTTGATGTCCTAATTTCTAGGTTTACACCACCTCTATCATTACAAAATCCCAAATGACATATACCTAGTGGCTGAGGTGGACAACGAAGGGCTTTAGGGACTTAGGAAGAGGAAACAACACTGCAGTTAGAGTTGTGGGGGAAGGTAATTCTGGAATAGTTGGGACGTAACCTGGGCTTTGAAGATTGAGTGTAAATTGGGTGAACTAGAACTGGAGGGAAGTTTCTAGGGGAGAATGAGAGGGAGACTGTTGTGTGGAAGGGTCAATGACAGCAAAGGGTGTGCACAAGGAAGTTTTATCAAGAAAGGTGTAAGGATTTGTGGGAGGTAAGACTGGATTCATAAATTGGAGCTAGATAATGGAGGTTTCTGAATGATAGGTGAAGGACTTTAAGTTTAATCCTGCAAGTTTCCTTTAGAAGGCTTTCGAGAGAAGCAGCAAGATTCAATTAGTCTCACAGACTATACTTAAAAAAAAAACAAAAAAACCAACCAACCAGAAAATGTAGTTAGTGCAAACCAAAATCTTAACAATTACAATATTATTTTTAAAAAATTTCTACAAAAACAGCATATTATCTACCATCATCTCTATATAGATGGAAACTCACTGGGATCACTTTTATATATATCTATATGCAATGTTTATTATTCCTCTCTCTCTTTCTGTGGGACTTTCTGTCCCTCACAGATAACCTTATCAGGAGTCTATTTTGAGTTTGATTATTTATTTATTTATTTGTATTTTGAAACATCAGGTGGGGAGAAGCCAAGAGAGAAAGCCAGGCAAGCTCAGAAACTGGATATCACAACAGATTCTCCCGAGAAGAGCTAATCATCAGTTCACTTTCAAAGCATCAGAAGGGCCCGGGGCTCAGTTAACCTTTCCCATTTCCATAGGCTGAAACAGGATTTGTTCCCTTTAAGATACAGCCACTGCTGCTGGTGAATGACAGCAGAGGAAATGGAAGGAGAAAAACTGGGAAGAAAGTGGCTAACACTTCCCTAGTATGCGCTGTTATTTACCAATAGAAAGCAATAGGAAGGCAAATATTGACTTAAAAATAAATAAAAGAACTTCTCTTTGTTTCTGCTCCTGGAAACATGACTCTCAATTTTACCTAAGTCACTCAAATCAACCAGAAGTAGAAAATGCTGTCCCTATATATTAATAGTTTACCTAATTCCTCTTTCCCCTTCAGCCTGTGTTTTGTCCTGATCCAAGCATTCTCCTCTTTAATAAATACTCCTATGAGATGTTGACATTGTTCCCAGTTTTGCCACCTGGATCCTAAAGAATTGCTGTTGAAATAGTCTCCAAGCTCTAATCCAAGAGTCCTTATTTCAAGTTCTTGTTCTTCTAGGTGATTCTGTTCTCTCATGCCAGTTCTTTTGGCAGTTGTACCTGTGATTTAATTATATGAAGAAAAGGGGGGAAATTAATCCTGGAAATTCAAATGCTTTACAGCAAAGATTACAAAATTTGCATATTTCTAAGGATGCAGAATGGATTCAAAATTCTGACCAGAGACTTCCCCCCACCCCAAAATCATGACAAAGCAATAATTGTAACCATAGCCACCATTCATTGGGCATTTACCAATGCCAGACACTGTTCCAAGGGTTTTGAGCACATGATGAAGCGTATCTTAGAAACAAGAGGCCTAGTACTGGAGTCAGCCTGGGATCAAATCCAGACACTAGCACTTAACAGGATGTTGATATTAAGCATCAAGTTCCTCAGCTGTAAAATGACAGTAAAAGTATCTAATCCACAGGCTATTATATGGATTAACTTACATAATACAATTTAGTAATCAACTTTAATACTTATTTTAAAACATTATCTCATTTCATCCTAAATATTATTAAAAGTAGAGAATAGGCTTAGAGAGGATAATTTGCCTAAAGACACGTACTAGGAAGTGACAGAGCCAAAATTTGAAACCAGATCTTCCTGATTTCCATACTCAATGCCTTGATCACCATTATATACTGCCTTAAAAAATATAACCATAGGAATATAAAATATGTGTTCCTTTAAAGTTGATATTTACTTGATGGTCATTTAAAAATATTATTTGGAGAACTCCCAAGAGCAAAAAAATTACAAAGAACAGCATAAGTCCAGGACTACAAATGAAACATATAGCTCTGTTTCATGGGAACAGCTTAAAGATAAGGCAAGTTCTGTAAAGTAATGCTGTATCTTAGGATGGTGACTCATGTACCTTTCTTACAGCACCTCTGTACCTCATGCAGAAGGAGCAATGGTTAAGCACTGGCTGCTAACCAAAATATCAGTGGTTTGAACCTACCAGCATGGGAGAAAAATGTGGCAGTATGCTTATAGCCTTGGGAACCATCTGGAGCAGTTCTACTTTGTCCTATAGGATTGCAATGAGTTGAAGTTGATTCAATGGCAACAGTTTTATTTTATTTTTGGTTTGTTACCTTATGGAGGACAGTGAAGTTGTCCAGGGGACACTCAGTTTGTATAATAATGACTAAGAATGTTTCTCCCTCTATTGCCCATGCCTTCTGCCAATGTGATGAATCATTTTGGCCTCTGCTGTGGCCCTTCCTATTGCCAGTTCTCTGCCCATGACCTTTGGCTAGAAATGTTTCCCAGCATCCTGCCTGCCATAGAGGGCCTTGGATGGGCTGCTGCCTGCTCACCTTTTAGTCAAAGGTGTCCTCCATTTGCTTCTGACCCCCTCCCTCCCTAATGCCAGACTTTCATGAGAGGAAAGGTATAACTGTATCTGCATAAGGAACCTGAAGGAGAGCCAGTTGTTAACACACCAATGAGCATAATAATAATAATAATGTCAAGAATTTAAAGTAACCATAAGCTGCAGTAAATAATTAAAACAGTGCAGTTCTTTGTATTATCGAATGAAAAAAATTATATAATGTTACTCTCCATATATGTTTATGGAGATGCATGAAAGTGTTCCAAAATAATAATAATGCTATTTTAAAAAGCATAATTAATGTGGTACTGACCAAGCATAGTAAGCCCAGAAACACTGAAGTATTTAAAATATGACCAAGCTGGCAGTTCTGATCATTGGAGAAAAGAGGAATGAGTCACTAAATGATTATTGGTTAACTATTTGGAAAAGAAACAATAAAGCAGACTTCTTTATTCTTGTTGTTATATCCTGTTCAATCTTTGACTCACAGTGAACCCACGTGACAGAGTAGAACTGCCCCTAGAGTAGAACTAGGGTTTCCTAGACTGTAATGTTTATGAGAGCAGATTGCCTTGAGAACTTGAGAGCTTCTAGGTGGGTTTGAACCACCAACCTTTCAATTATCAGCCAAGCTCATAACCACTGCTCCATCAGGGCTCCTTCCTTGCTTCATACTTACTTTTAAAATGCAATCCTTTTGTTCATTAGTAACGTCAAATATTTTTTGAAACCCAAACCTATCACAGTTATAAGAAAAGATAGGCAAATATTTCAATAAGCTTCAAGAGAGGTAATTTCTAAGCAAAATACAAAAGACAGAAACCATAAAGAAAAAGACGTGGTATAAAAACATGCAAACAGAAGAAAACAGCTTGTAGTATTGTAAGGGGGTCTTTTACCCCCTTCATTTGTTAACATTAGTTGTTTTTTTTTTTTAAAAAAAGCTTGTGTGTATGTATATGCATGTGTGTAACATTGCACAGTCCACACACATAAATACACTCAGAGGAGGGTGGAGGCCAGAATGGGAAGACCCATTTAAACAGGAATTACTTAATTCAGCACAACTTTTGAGTCCCTGCTCTAGGTCAAGCACCATAGTGGGTGTCCAGAGTGGAGATGAGAAAGAACTGCCTAAGGAACTCAGAATCCTGTAGGAGACCCACAGCATATCCATAAGGGCCTCATCCTGAAACAGAATGTGGGAGGTGCTGTAAGAGAGGTACAGATGAAAGAGAATGAAATATGCAGGAAGGGTATTTACTATTGATTTTTCGTTTTGTTTTGTAAGTAGTAGTATTTGAGCTGAGTCTTGGAATCTGGATAGAGTTTAATAGATACAGAAGAAAAGGTAATCTGAGGTGGAAGGGAGTATGGAGGCAGCAAAGAAGGGCCTTTTAGGGAAAAATGCTAAATATGGTTTCCCATGGATGTCACTGAACCATAGATCTCAAAGCCTGGTGCCCAGGTAAGTATGATCAGCATAACCAAAGAACTAGTTAGAATGCAAATTTTCAGCTCCCACCCAGTGCCTATTGAATCAGAAACTCTAGGGTTGGGCTCAGTAATCTCTGTTGAGCCCTCCAGGTGACTCTGAAAAATGCTAAAGTTTGAGGATCTTTATCACAGAGTTGAAGGAGCTCTGGTGGTGTAGTGGGTAAGGCATTTGACTATTAACTACAAGGTTGGCAGTTCAAACCCACCAGCTGCTCTGCAGGAGGACAATGAGGCAATCTACTTCCATAAAGATTTACAGCCTTGTAAACCCAATGGGGGCTCTATGAGTCAGAATCCACTTGATGGCAATGGGTTTTATCACACACGTGAGGAGCCCTGGTGGCACAGTGAAAGAGCCTTAGTGGTGTAGTGGTTAAGCATTCATCAGAAGGTTGACAGTTTCAACCCACCAGCTGCTCCATGGGCCGTCTGCTTTTATAAAGATTCTTCTTGTTGTTAGGTGCTATCAAGTGAGTTCTGACTGATAGTGACCCTATGTACAACAGAACGAAACACTGTCCAGCCCTATGTCACCCTCACAATCGCTGCCATGCTTGAGCTCATCATCATAGCCGTTGTTTCAATCCATCTCATTAAGTGTCTTTCCCCTTTTCACTGTCTCTATACTTTACCAAGCATGATATCCTTCTCCAGGGGCTAGGCCCTTCTTCTGTAAAGATTACAGCCTTGGAAGCCCTATGGAGGGCAGTTCTACTCTGTCCTGTAGGGTCACTATGAGTGGAAATTAATTTCATGGGTACAAAAATCACAGATGCTAGAAAAGATGTATATCAAAAACATATGCATATCAAAAACATGCATTTTTTTTCTCCCCTTCATATTAGAAATAAACAGTTTCTGGTCTATATAATTCCTGGTTAATATGCTCTTTTGAAATGGGTTTGGAGTGTTACATTGCTTTCTCCTCTGGCGTCTCACTTTACAAAATTATTCTGCTTCCACAGCTGTAATGTAGGTTGGCATATGGCTTTTGTTTTGTTTTGTTTTGTTTTTAGATTGCCCTGGTTCATTTTTTGGGAGGCAAGAAAGAGGGGGCAGGAAAAAAAAATGAGTTGAAGGTAAGTCTGGGTTTTTTGACCTGAATATGTGAGAGAACACAGACACAATGGGATATTGTGAACCAGGACCAACAGGTCTAAAAGACCTTCGTTTGGGGAGAGAGTAAATGAAAGTACTAAGAAAATGCTTTTTAGTGACCAAAAAGGAGAGAGAGATTTGGGTCTGAGGTTAAGTAGTTCTAGAGATTTGTGGTCCTGCATTATTACATTGACAGTTGAAACAATGGAAGAAGATGGGAAAGAGTAGAAAATTATACCAAGGGCAGAATCAAGAGAAGCTGGTGAAAGAGAAAAAAAAAAAAAAAAAAAAGCACCAAACTCACTGCTGCCTAGTCAGTTTCGACTCACAGCCACCCTTCCTTGAGTTTCTGAGGCAGTATCTCTGCGGAAGTAGATTGCCCAATCTTCCTTCCAAGGAGTAGCTGTGAGTTTGAACTGCCAGCCTTCTGGTGAGCAGTCATATGCCTTAGGCACTACGCCACCAGAGCTCCAGGTGAAAGAAAAAGAAGATCTTATAAATGGAACAAAGAAGAAATGGCCAGAGACAAAGATAAAGACTCAAGAGTCAATTCTGTAATTTTAACACCTAATTGTAAACACCAACAGTTTATGGGGTCTTTTGGTTAACCAAAGTAGCTCATGATATTATTATGCTGAAGTCTGCCCTAAGGTGAAATTTGCCAGTGTCTTTGGTGAATCTTCAACAACTGGCTGGAAGCAATCCACATGCACATAAGGGAGCCCAAAGTGAAACTGAGTGAATGTTAACACAGTTACTTTGTTTGATTGCAGCAGAAGCTTGGATATGCTATTAAATGCAGTTGACCTCAGTGGATTAAACAGTTGCTGCAGATGGGATTTTATCTCCACAAAAAGTATAAATACTCATCCGGGATGGCAGGCAGCGAGTAGACTACTGAATTTAAAAAAAGATGAAAGAATATCATACATTTGCCAGGGACAGATAAGCCTGAACAAGACAATGTTGTTGCATTGAACTGATGTACGGACTCATGGGGGAAATGAATTAGTCATTATCTAATGAATTCAGTTTATTTGTTAGACAAATGAGTTTAGAGGCATAGCTATAAACAACCAAGGCAACAAAACAAACAAGAAATAAACTAAAAAACCTATCAAATTCAACCCACTGCCAGCAAGTCAATTCTGACTCATAGCGACCCTATCGAACAAAGTAGAGCTACCCCACAGGATTTCCAAGGCCATAAATCTTTCTGGAAGCCTACTGCATCCTCTTTCTCCCACAGAGTGGGTTTGAACTACTGACATTTTGATTAGCAGCTGAGTGCTTTAACCACCATTTAAAAAAAACACTGCCATCAAGTTGATTCTGACTCTTAGTTGATATTTAGGGGAGTAGATTGCCTCATCTTCCTCACATGAAGCAGCTGGTGGGTTTAAATCACCAACCTTCAGTTAGTGGCCAAATGCCTTACCCACTATGCCATCAGAGCTCCTTAAAAAGCTTACAGAAGCATATCAAGTAATGTGAATGAGTAAAGCAGGTTACTTGATAGGACCTGGTGGGAACTGGGAAAAACTAGAGAGTCCATTACCTAGTTCAAGAGAGAAGCCAATAGACAGATCCAGATGATTAGTGCCATACAAATACAAGCCCAGTGTGGCCAGATCTGATGTTTCAAATGGTGCCAGATACGAGTTTTTTAAAGTGACACTTAAAAATTATGCAATGATCTTCTAGCCAAACAAAACAGGACTATAGATCTGGCCTGCACTCAAGCGGTTTTCAACCCCGGGCCCACAGAGTAACTATCTCTTAAACTAAATTGAATGGATAGTTTCTTAGCAGAGGAAGCATTTGATCCAAGCAAATAAACTTTTCCTTTGTTTCCTGGCAACTTCATTTCAGAGGTCCCAAACCACAGGGATAGCGCAGGGGAGGAATAAGCATTAAAATGAAAATACACAATTTTAAAATAAAAACTATTTACGGAGATGTGCTCTAGAAGAAAATACCAAGTTTTTTTTTTTAAGTTTTCTAATAAAGAAAAAAAACCCTTAGTATTAAGTTTTTACTTAAAATAGTATGTTTTTAAACATTGAATGTTCTCGTTAGCAGCATCAGTTAAAAAAAATATTTTCATGCTAGCTTCATATTTCAAAATTCAAGGGTTTGGAGTTCATCCCATTACTATAATGCAAGAAGGGAAAAGAAACTTAATAATAACAATAATAAAACCAACTGTAGTTTCACCTCTACAAAGTGAGTGTTGTGTCTCATTTGAACAAAAATATCCCTCTCTGCTGGGATCTTGGGATATTGCCACTGATAGTTTCTACTATATTTCATTAGACTAAGATTCACTTTCTGTAACATTTCAGCAGCTGTGAGAGCAGGACGCATCTTACAATGTCTTACCATAGCTAGCCACAGGTAAGAAAATGTCATAGTCATTCATACTATATCACTTCTGTTGAGCTAAGTGCCCTGTGAAGATGTATGCCACTTTTTAAAAATGATGAAGCAAATGTGGTAAAATGTGACTGGTATGTAGGAATTCTGTGTACCAATTTAAGTCTAAAATTATTTGAAAACAAAAAGAATAAAAAGGTCTTTTAAACGATGACACTGTGATTCAGCGTTACAGCAGAAGTTTATTGCATATGCACACAGGCACAAAACAGAGCAGCAGGAGCAAAGCGCAATTAGTGAAGTGAATTTTCATCTGTGGAATGATGCACTTTCACATTTTTCTTGCAGAATGTTTCACAGGACCAAATAGATGAAGTTATGTGACATTTTTTAAACTGAGATACATGCAAAAAGATGCCTACTGCAGGCCAAGCCAGGCAAATGAAGGCAGAAGAAATTGCCAGTTCCTTGGAATAGATCAAAGTCATTTCAAAGCAAAGAGGCTGATGTGCAAGGCAACCATTCAAAACGCATGTGACAGAGTTTACTTTGCATCATGCTTTTCTTTCTTAATGAATATTTTAAAAACATTGTTAAACCACAAACTTAAAATTGATAGTATTTTAAAATTGATTGAAATATGAAAAATGTAGTAGTTAGTGGGATATTGTATTTTTTAATTATCATCATAGATTTCTTTTTAACATCTTTTGTTGGACTTAAAAACTGTGATGTTTGGCCGTGAAAATGATAACCACTACATTGTAAGCTCCATGAGATGGAGCCAGCAGCTCTGATCCCTCTCACAGTGACACCTGGGGGCACTGTGTAAATATTTGTTACATTATTGGGTAAAAGGATGGATGGAATGGAATGGACTCTGGGAGAGCAGATTTTTCTCAGCAGAACATTCCTCGGAAGGCAGGGAGTTGGTTCGAATGATCATTGGAATTTCATTTTCTCTTCTACCCTGAGTCCATTTGCCCCCTTCATGTAGATTGTAAAAAATGCTTTCCTTCACTTCCTTCAGACTAATGCTATTTTATGACTATACAGCCACCAAGGCAGTTTGGATATGCTTTACCAGTGACTGCTTATGGAAATGATGATAGAACTAGTTATCTCAAAACACCACCCTGATCCACCCCCTATGGAGGGCCTGGCAGCCTGGAGAACAGGTGCAGAAAGCCTTGGGGTTGTGCCCAAGGACAGGAAAAGGACCCTTGCCTAACCTCCTGTGACCTCTGGTGTTCTCACCCTGGTCCTTGCCTAAAGAAAGTCAGAGGTCCTCTTAATCACAGATAAGAGCCTTCTTTGATTTAGAAAAGTGGAATATTGATCATTTTGCATACTAGGAGATGGGAATACAGAACATACAGGACACATAGATACACAGATAGAGAGACACGAATAAGTAACACTTATTTCAGAATATAAAGCTCTTTAAAATTGAAAACAATGAGCGTACATGGAAATTTGTTTAAAATGTCCTGAAGAATTGGTAATCTCTATAACAACATATTGAAATTTTGCCAGTGTAATCTCTTGGCTGAATTCTTCACGAGATTTTAAAATAACACAATTAGTTTTCACTCAGCCATGGCCCTTGTGGTAGAGTGGTTAAAGCATTCGGCTGCTAGTCAAAAGGTTGGTGGTTCAAACCTAGCAGCTGCTCCATGGGAGAAAGATAAGGCGATCTGCTTGCGTAAAGATTTATAGCCTTGGGAACACTATGGGGACAGTTCTACTCTGTCCTGTAGGGTTGTTATGAGTTGGAACTGACTCACTGGCAGTGGGTTTGGTTTGCTGGCCTGTGTACATGCAACATTCCACTTCCATAAATGCCATGATAGTAGTGACAAAAAAATTTCATTTCTGCCAGTTAAACAGCAACCTAAGCAGCAAGGAATAGACAGACCTTTTTCACATGTCAGCAGAAACAGTGACTAATAACAAATGTTCAAACTGAAATATAGTAACATATATTAAAACTTCATTCATTCATAGACAGGCTAACCTGAAGTATAAATGTAATTACAGGTAGTATCTTTTCATCTACTGAAAAAGAACTGTGTCTAAATCTTTCAAAAGCATTCAGTTATCTACAAATGATTGGCCCAATTACCTCTCATTCTTATTTATTCCTTACAGCTGGTTTCTTTGTCTCTCTGGTTTGTTTCCGTAGTGATACTGCCTCGGAAACCCAAGGAGGGGTCGCTGAGTTGGGTCCAAGTCGACAGCACATAACAACAACAACAACTGGTTTGTTAGCTCTGTGTGGGTGGGTTGTTGGTACTGTGAGGATGCACTTGCAGGGTTCAAAATAGCAGACAGGACAGTGAGTGACACAAAAGATTAAGGGCTTAGTCATTAATCAAAGGGTGGAGGTTTGAACTCGATAAGAGGTGCTTCAGAAGACAGGCCTGGTGATTTTCTTCTGAGAGGTCACAGCCAGAATAGTGGTGAATATGGCTTGGCCCCGAACTCAGAGGTGGGTTTCAATGTCAGCACTACTGCTTCCTGGCTATTTCTCCTACACATGTTATTTAACGCCTCTAAGTCTCAGCTTTCTTTCTATAAAATGGGAAAATATAGTACATACCCTATAAGGCAGTCAAGACGGTTATACAAGTTAATTCATATAATGAATCTGACCTAAAGTAAATGCTCAATAAATGTTAGCTATTGAGGTTACTTTGTTACAGAAGTTGTAAAGATACGTGTCTTTAGGGAAAACCAGTCATTTAGATCTACTGGTAACTCTCACTGGCTCAGACTAACAGTAACTAGTGAGTATCTCCTTCTATTAAGATTTACAGGGAATAGCATCAGGATACATTTATTCCAGTGCTTGTTCACCACTTTTCCCTCCTTCTACTTACAGGTTTAAGATAGGCAACATTGCTGTGACGAATGTCATTCAAGAGCTGATCTCTGGGAGTGATCTCCACCAATGGGGGTGGCCTATTTCTCGGCACTGGTTTGAGCGTTTTGATCACATCTTTAAGGTTGGTTTTCTCGGGTGGTTCTCTAGCTTCTGGCATTCGAGATTTGCGTTGGATTCGCTTCAGCTTCACCACCCGGAAGGAGTCAGGGTCAGTCCTGTACTGCGGAGGCTGCGATGGCTTTTTCATTTCATTTCGTCGACTGTAAGGGACTGTTTGGGGGTTGGGAGGCCCAGGAGTAGGCTGGAGGAACTCTTCCACTCTGGGATTTGGCATTGGTCCCCCCAATCTCTCCCACATTCCAGGCGGCAGCCCTAACCCATTCTCCAACATGGCTATTAACTTTCTCTGCTCTTTGAGTTGCTGCTGTTTTTGTTCTTCTTGTCGTTTCTGCCTTTGTTTATCCTGATTTCTGGTGAGCAGATTGGTTACTACCATTCTGGGACCTGGAAGTTCAAAATGGTAGCCCATCTTGAGGAGAGTGTTATTTGCCTTCAAAAGCCTGGATATTTCCATTTCAGCATGGTGGCCCAACATGTGCCTCTGATTGTGAAACCGAAGTTCAGTTAGTGTCTCATTAAACTGGAGGCATCTCATGATAGCCACAATTCCCTTACCTGTCATGAAATTGGACTCGATGTTGAGAGTGGTAATACTCTTATTTTCACGCAACATGTTAGCCAAGGCAAATGCAACGCTCTCATCCGCACCCACGTTCGCTAAACTAAAGGTTTTGATGTATTTGTTTTTCTTCATTGCATTGACAAAGTCCAGTAACATTTCCTTGGGGATATTTTCAATGTTGTTCAAGTTGAGTTCCTTCATGTCAGGATCATTTTGCCTCACTTGCCTCAAACTTCCATCTAGGTCAGTTTGGTTTCCTGAAGGCCTTGCACTTACCTTCAAAAAACTGGTATCTAGAGCTAACTTCTTTGGGTCTAATTTTGATATTTTTTTCTCACTCTTTTCTTGGGCCTCTGGTCTGCTTTTTTGTTCTTCTAATGCTTTATCAATCACCTGTTGGCAGTTTTCACCATTTCTGATTTGCTCCTTTGCACCACCTTCTTCTCTTTCTGTTTTTTCATCACTCTGTTCACCATCATCTTCTTCATCATCTTCATCATCTTCATCATCATCAGCTTCTTCATCTACATCTTCATTGTTATCCATTTCCTGGACACTGTTGCTGCCCTTTGGTTCTCTTTTATTTGCAACTATCTCACTGTTGAGCTTTTCTTTTAAAAAATGGGACATATTTTTATTACCTTTGTCTATTCCTTCATGGTGTTCTTGTGTGTTTTCCTGAAAGAGAGGTTTTTGAGGGTTAGAATAGATAGCAGT